GGTGTCTGCTGCTGCTCAATATTATAAGGCCACATTGACTGTAACAACTGGATTGTCTGCTCCTTTTAATAATCTTGCCATCATCTATAAACAACAGGTATCGTTTCCTTGATTCCATTCTTACATGGATGCAAGAAGTGTATTTTCCCCTGTGGATTGTCTCCCCTCTTTTGGGGTTGGGGTAGAGGGGGGAGGGTGGTAAGGAAGGTGGTACTGCTATTAATTGCTCCTTTACAGCTTTGGGAAAATGTTGGCCTTTTTTTGTAATTTCCTCTTACTAAGATTCATAGTCTTTAAATTATAAAGGTGCATGATATGTGAAGATTTGCCTAGACAATTTCGCACTCCAAAAAAGCTGCCTTTTAGGGGGAGGGGCAGGACCATATTTTAAGAAATCATGCAGGTGAAACCCTCACAGTAAAGGCTCGGTCAGTTTCTAAGATTAAGAGTAGAAATAAAAACTAATAAGAAAAATAAGAATTGTATGGATATATGGTCCTGTTTCTTCTCGTAAAACTTTGTTGAATCTATTTTTATTTATCACCATTTTCTGCTCCAATATCTACTGTGCATGCTTTCATCACAGGGGAATTATGCAGATGCAATTTCTTGCTACAATGAGGTTCTCCGCATAGATCCCTTGGCAGCTGATGGGCTTGTCAATAGGGGGAACACGTACAAAGAGATTGGTAGAGTCAGTGAAGCAATTCAGGACTACATACACGCAATATCTGTCCGGCCAACTATGGCTGAAGCTCATGCAAATTTGGCGTCAGCTTACAAGGATAGGTATGGTACTTCAGTTTTCACTGTTGGCGCTCCAATTTTTGTCAACTGTTTAATATGCCAGGTTCCTGGGAAAAGTTGGTTTACTCCAACAAAAAGTGGAATTCCTTCAGGATTGTTATTCCTATTTTGATCCTTTTAATTCAATCAAATTGATTCTGTGGTGGGTGGTACTGATGGGTGCACTGCTCTTTGGGAGCCTATGAGGGAACAATTTACTTTCATTTGTTCGAATTTAGAGTTAATGCCTTCTTGCCAGGGAATCTAATCTTTGGGTCCCAACAAACTCCAACTGGGTAAATTTTAGTTTAGTAAAGTAGCTTGATGCCTTGGATGGACATTCAAACCATCATATCCCTTGCGTGGAAGTGGAATTAACATTTATTGAACTCTTGCAGTGGACATGTGGAGGCTGCTATTAAGAGCTATAAACAGGCATTGCTTATTCGACCTGATTTTTCAGAGGCAATTTGTAATCTTTTACATACATTACAGGTATTATCTGAATTCCATGGAAGTGGTATTTGACAAGAATTCTTCATGTGATTTGGCTGTGAAATTTGCGCTAATCTAATTTCTACTTAAAAAAGTATTTATTTAGTGCACTAATAGAATTGTGTTCTTGTCGGTTTGCTCTTGGACACTCAACACAAATGTTCACATGCACCAATACCTGTACTCTTTAAAACTCTTGGAGTTGTGTGGATACATCCGTGACCATAGAAATGGCTTTATGTTGGTTGATTTAGACTACATAAGTAGACTTGAAATATAAAGGCATATATGCAGTATTCAGAGGTAGAGGAGCATGTGTTAAATTCCGTCTGTTGGTTGCAGTGCATTGAGCATTGATGTCCTTACATGTAAACTAATGTAATATGATTGTACATTGTAGTGTGTATGCAGTTGGGAGGACCGCGACAAAATGTTTTCTGAAGTTGAAGGGATAATCAGGAGGCAGATTAATGTCGGTCTTGATTTGTTATCATTATACTCTCTATTTTGTAAAACTGATCATTTACCCTTCTAATCTTATTTCAGTCTCATTATCATCACTATAAAACTTTACTAAGAGTCACTTGAATGCTACTTTCTTCTTATTTCAGATGTCTCTTCTGCCAAGTGTGCAACCCTTCCATGCAATAGCCTATCCGATTGATCCAATTCTGGCACTTGAAATTAGGTATCGCCCCTACGTTCAGTGTTTAGGCTTTAAGAAACAAAAGTTAACCAGCAAGAATAATTTTTCTTCTCATTCACAATTTTGTCTTCTCTTTTACAGCCGTAAATATGCTGCACACTGCTCCATAGTCGCATCACGATTTGGACTTTCTCCTTTCAACCATCCTGCTCCAATCCATATAAAGCGTAATGGTGGGCCCCAGAAACTAAGGATTGGGTATGTTTTGACAGGATGCGTAGGACTAATCTCTTTATTTGTCAGAGCTATACTTCTCTTTAACTGTATGAGGACCTTTCTTGAATTGCAGATATGTAAGCAGTGACTTTGGTAATCACCCCTTGTCACATCTTATGGGATCTGTGTTTGGGATGCATAATAAGGACAATGTTGAGGTTTGTAATTTTTGTACTCTTATAGGTTCTTTCTAAGTAAATTACTGCATGCTGGAACTAAGCATTTTGATATAGGTTTTCTGTTATGCCTTGAGTCCAAATGATGGAACGGAATGGAGACAACGCATCCAGTCGGAAGCAGAGCACTTTATCGATGTCTCATCTTTGTCATCTGATATGATTGCCAAAATGATTAATGAAGATAAGATACAGATCTTAATTAACCTTAATGGTTATACAAAGGTATGCTTCATCTGTTGACATTTCTTTTCTCGTCTTTAAATAATCTTTGATGAGGCTTATTGTAAGGACCTTGAACTTGTGCCTATTTATTTGACGCATTGTGTAATTATTTGCTCATAAATATGGTCAGGTATACTACATCAACTAATTGTAGTTTTTTATGCACTCAGCTTTTTATTGTATCATATATTTGTTGTACTTGGTTGGAATGACTTAATGGCACCTTCATCATGCAGGGTGCAAGAAATGAAATATTTGCCATGCAGCCAGCACCCATTCAGGTTTCATATATGGGTTTCCCTGGTACTACTGGGGCAAATTACATTGATTACTTGGTCACTGATGAGGTTTGAATTGGGCCACCTTATGTTTTGGATAGCTTAATTTTGTTGAATGTAGTTTTCTGATGTGCTGTTTCTTTTGTTTCAGTTTGTTTCACCTTTGCGCTTCTCACATATTTACTCTGAGAAGATTGTTCATCTCCCGCATTGCTACTTTGTGAATGATTACAAGCAGGTTGGTGTAGATATGCTCTCTAGTCTGTGTTGTTATTTTATTAACTTCAGCGAAGTTACATGGAACCTGAATCACCTTTTAATGTTGTGTTCAGAAAAATCAAGATGTGTTGGATCCAAGCTGCCGGCAGAAGCGATCCAGTTATGGTCTGCCCGAGGATAAATTTGTATTTGCATGCTTCAATCAGTTGTACAAAATGGATCCTGAAATCTTTAATACATGGTAATATCATCATATTCGTCACGTAGTCGCAATTCCTGAAGAACAAAAAATTACATTAGTACAGATTCTACATAATTTGTCATCTCACTAACGATTCTATGTGCTCTAGGTGCAATATTCTTAAACGTGTACCCAACAGTGCACTTTGGCTCCTCAGATTCCCAGCTGCAGGCGAAATGAGACTTCGTGCATGTAAGTGGAATGGTTTACTTCTTTATAATGAGTTGATCGCACTCATTTAAACCTCTTTTGTGCAAACATATAGGTTTTTTGAATACTCAATCCGAGTAAAAGAGAAAACACAACCTTTGACCTTGCGGTCTGAAGTAAAAACGATTTAATAATGGGCCTTGAGCTCTGTCTTTTCACCCAAAAGTATATGACATTATTATTATTTATTTGACTTTATTCAGATGCTGTTGCTCAAGGAGTGCAGCCAGACCAAATCATCTTCACAGATGTTGCTATGAAAGGTGAACATATCAAGCGGAGTGCGTTGGCAGATTTATTCCTTGACACGTAATCTTCTTTTCCCTGGATTCAACGTAAATCTGAAGTCTCTTTCGTTCTGTACTATACATAGTAAGCTAGAATTTCTGATTGTTTGAGATTGTTTTTAGGCCTCTGTGCAATGCACATACGACAGGCACGGATATTCTATGGGCAGGTCTGCCAATGGTGACCCTTCCCCTTGAAAAGATGGCTACCAGGGTTGCTGGATCACTGTGTCTCGCTACTGGACTGGGAGACGAGATGATCGTTAGCAGGTACGTCTTTTTTACAGACAACCTTGAGACTTGACATACAAGTATTTCATAAAATGATGCCTTTATCATCCACCATCTGCACACAGTGCTTGTCAGTTGTCACTTTGTTCTTGTCTTCTCACTGGACGCTTTTTTCTTACATGTAAATGAGTTTGTAACAATTTCCTTTTCCTGTCTTGACTTCCCATAGCATGAAAGAGTATGAAGAGAAGGCAGTGTCTCTGGCACTGAATCCCGCAAAGCTCCATGCTCTTACCAGCAAGCTCAAGGCAGCCCGGTTGACTTGTCCTCTGTTCGACACTGCACGCTGGGTAAGTCAAAGCAACATGTTTTGTGCATAATGACTACTCGGAAAAAATGGAAGGCACATTAATAATCTCTCGAAACAACTTGTTGCAGGTGAGGAATCTGGAGAGGAGTTATTTCAAAATGTGGAATCTGCATTGCTCGGGCCAGAAGCCGCAGCATTTCAAAGTCACCGAGAACAACTTAGAGTTTCCGTACGATAGATAGAAGGGCGAAGTTAGAGACGGAATTTGTAGATCCGTAAGTACTACACAAATTGATAAATCCTGGACATGTTTCGAGTCGAAGGAGAGATTTGCTTGACGTAGCCGTATTCACTATGTCACTCTTTCCGCTTCCTCCCCTCCTCACCATCCCCTCTACCATATAATCTTGCGATCTGTACGTATCTTATATAATGGAGATGATATATTGGTAATGTGTTGGTTCCACACTGCTCTTGTGCTTCTCGTCTTCGATTGCCAACGGAAATCTTTCTGATGCATTTTCCATTCTTCCTACCTACTTGAACCAAAACTTTGCCGGAAATTGAATCGCTCTTTGTGTTCAGTTTGCAAGCAAATTCTGCCCTACAATACGAAGGAGAAGCATTACTAGGGATTCGTCTCGACTATCTGCGTAAAATATATGAAACATCAGCAGCTAGATTATGGTCGGAAGCGATTTTGGTTTTCAGTAATGGCTTGTAGCCCGCTCTAACAAAACCCGAACCTAAATTGCATATATTGTTGAACACAGAACTGCATCGTTACTTCCTCGATCAAGTACCAACGAGGCCATCAATTCTTCCACGCCCTCCGTGAACCAGGTGCCCCACCGCGAGCACGAGCGGCATGATGCCCAGTGCAGAACCATTAGATCCTTCAAACGGCCAAGAACCAACATCTACAACGCTCGGTTGCCCCATCAAGTGCCGCGGAGAGACGCTTCCAATTGTTCAATCCTCTTAGCCATATCATGCTTCCCACAATTCTTCAATCCGTCAGTAACCAAATCAAAGCACCGCGACATCGGCATCAACCCCATCACAGTCATTTCCACCAAGTAATTCGCGGCCTCAACAAACCGCCCTCGCGTCCAGCCATCGTTATCAACATAGTATACACCGGTCGGTTAGGGGGATGTCCCTTAACCTTCATCTCTCCAAAGAAACAAAATGCATCAACAAACTGACCCCTCCTACACATCTCCTTAATTATGGAAGCATACAAGCTCGGATATGGCCTATGCCCGTCTTCAATCGAATTATGCAAAAGCCGGAACGCATCATCAATCCTCCCCACCTTCGTTAATTTTTCTGCTTTTGATGGTATCAACAGAATGTTCACACTTCCACTAATTTGTCAGCTGAATGTTGACAAAGAGTGGTGTAGAATTCTTCCATCGGAGTTGTGGGCTATTAAAACCGAAGTTGAGGGCTGGAATGATTTTCCTTGTATGTACTCGTACTGTGTTCTTGGTGCCATCTTGGGGTTGGGTGTGGTTAGAGAATGTGACTTAGCCATATGGGTGTCTGCAAATTCACCACAATGTGGAGTTGTGATAGATGTCGCCATGAGGGCTCATATACTTTTACTTTTCTGGTTCAAGCTTTGAAGCGGCTGGCCTCTCAGCTTTCCACACTCTATGGTGCACAAAATGGGAAAGTATTTGCCATAAGCGTTCTCAAGAAATGCATATCAAATGCTGCAATGGCCTCGTTAATTTTCCCATTGGAGCAACAGGTGACAGAGTCTCCTGCTTTAGAAGAGGCTTCATCGAATTTGAATGCCGATGGCAGCGGTGTTAGGAATGCTGAAGCTTTGAAACCACTAAGCACAGATGGTGAAGGGGATTGCATGATGAAGGAAAACATTATCAGTAGGGTGGTATTTGTGTCCCAGGTTGCAGCAGCGGTCGCGGCATTGCATGAAAGGTCCTTGTTAGAAGAAACACTTACAGCACAACGGGTTTCAAAAACCCTTACTAGATATCAACAGTATGCCACTACGCTCAGTTTCATTTTTATCTTGAGTTTGCTTTCAGGTTTTCTTATAAAACGCTAAGTTTCTTTGTAGGGTGGTTGATCATGATCATCTATCACAGAGAGCTCATGAGGAGCGGAAAAACCGAAATCAGTACAAACCCATTATTGACCATGATGGGATTCACTGGGAGAAATCACGTAACCAGGTACCAGATAATATCATTACTTCTAGATAACTTAGCAGAGACATGATACTTGTTTCTAGATAACCAGGTACCAGATAATAGATCATCTTTTCGGTCAAATTCTCATCATAAGGGATAGGTACACATATGAGAATCACAGTTCAAACTCTATGGAACAAAATACGTTTGATGACAGATATGATCCTTTGGAGCCTCGTGACGTATATGAAGACAATCTCTCTACAAACAGAAAGTATGCTAGAGCAAGCAGACATTCTGAAAAAGAGAAAATTCCCAATGACCGTTAGAAATCTGACTGCCATGTCGGTAAGTTATTCTTGATTTTCTTTTATGTACTTGTGGTATGCTCTCACTTGAATTTGAAAGTGATATTTGTTCGTGACGCGGTTTATTGACCAAATTTTGCAGCACGAAGTCATCAGGCTTCAGCAATTTTAACTTCATCTGTATCCTCCTTTGTATCCTTAACTATTTTTCTAATTAGCTGTTAAGCATATAAATATTTCAGTTGCGCGTGTTTCTTCCCTCATTCTTGCTCTGAATAGATGAAAAGTTGATAACAAAACGTTGCTCGTACTGGCAAGGTTGTTGCTATATTCATCATGGTTTTTTAGCCTCGTCAGTCAACACCACAGTTGAGATTGTTATTTGCCGCATCCTCTTGTCAGTATTAAGTATTTACATTAGTTCATTATGATAGCCCATTCTAGTATTTCAAGATATAGCGATTCCCTTTGACTGGTTGGGATGAGCACATCAGAGTGCACATTTGTAGACTTGCAATTGTTATCTCTCGCATTTAGCAATTGTTAGTCTAGTAAGTCAGCGAAAACACAACCACCTTGTTAAACTCTTCTTACGTGTTAATCCTGTTTCTTTACACGCTAACCTCTCTGAATTTTCTGTTGCGCTGGACTTCACTCTGACCAAACCAAATTAAGTATATTGATGTTATTGATGAGCCATGTTAACCCTGTTAACCTCTCTACGAGAAATCTAGCTGATTGTAGCACCAAGCATGTGATGCTGCATTTTTGTCTAGGGGAATGAGTCTATCAGATAACCTGGGTGATGTCTTTTCTATTTTTCTATGCAATTAAAGCTTCATGCGCAATATATACATACATACATATATATATATGAAACAGTTATTAGCACTCCAAAAATCTCATTTTGCACTCCTCAAAAGTGTAAATGACAGAGGCCATGGTTACGAGATCTCAATCTGCAAATGAGGGTCAACAGGTTTGTTGTTGGATTGCAAAGAATAGCATCATTATAACGATTTCTCCGTCCTTCCGACCTCCCACCCCTCGGGACGGTTCCTTTTTTTGTTACTTGCTTTCTACTCTGGTGTTGTAGTATACAGCAATACATGTGATGTCATGGTTGAATTTTCTGATACCCGTATCTCTTTGCTCTGTAGATACTAGAATGCCCCCAGCGTCTGCTAGAATGTTGAAGAAGTTTGTGAATCGTGAAGGGAAGCACCATGCTCCATGCTTCTCTGTCCTGTGGTATTGTCAACATGGAGAGTGACTGATGACATAACTGGATGAAGCATAGTACTGGTGCTTTGACCCTTATTTCTATGCAATAGTTTAGTTTTGCTAATGGAATGCAGTTCTCTGATGAATCGTTTCGACGAGTTCATACAAATCGGAAGCAGTGCTTGTGGGAAAGCTGTCTTCATCTCACCCCTTTGAAATATGTAGATGGAAGAAGAATGCTTGTTTTGTGTTCTTAGTATTTTTAGTTTTGTAGAGATGATGTAAAATTGCTATTTAATTTGGTAGCATTTTTTTTTTCTGCAACATTTTAATTTGTTAGTTTATCCACATGTTTTTAGATGGAAACCTTTAATTAAGGAGAGCCCAAAAGGACATAATAGTTTTTTTTTGGTTTACAACGGGGCATAAGCCCGAAAGAAGGGAAATATTACATAAGAATATTAAGAGGTCACGAGACCCCAACTATACTACAATTAGCAACCGTCAACAAGAGGAGCTTTTCTAACCCGATGAGTCTTATGCCGAATAGCCACGTTTTTAGCTGTTTGGATTGAACAACTCTAATTACAACGAGATTTTTTTCCCAAGCGATAGTGTTTGACCATCCAGCTTATGAGGCTGTTGTACTCAAATCACTCTCCTCCAAACTCTACTAATCCCGCACATTTCTATTAAACTCGTCAACCAATTAATCAGAATAGTATGCCTGTTCTTTTACCCGAGTTAGAACAGCATGCCCATTCTTTTACCTTGAGTTTAAAAATAAAAATAAGAATGGAAGTTCTCCTTACTCAAAGGGACTAGGATTCTTTTCCCTCCTCTTTCTATCCCCTTCCATTCCCTCTTCTCACCTTCTTTATTTAACCTTTCTCTTTTATGATAAAAAAAAAAAAAAGTAATATAAGATGTTAACATGGCTTAACCGTTACCGTTCAAATAAGAGAAAAGAGAAAGGAAGGGAAGGAAAAAAAAAAAAAAAAATGTATGAGAATCCTACTGCTACTCAAAGGGTATGGTGGACTCGGTGAGTCAGCAAGCGACAGGAAAGTACATATATTGTTGAGGTAGTTTAGACGTACCACTTGAAACTGAATTTTGTGTCACACTCCTTCTATCTCCTCTTACTCACACACAAACCACAACAAAAACAAATCCAAGAAAACAGAGCATCTCACTCTCTCTCTCTCTCTCCTCTCTCTCTCTCTCTGACAGACGAGACGATGCAGCAGCAGCCCACAATTCTCGACGTCTGTATCTCCCTGACGACGAAAACCCCGTTCATCTTAAACGAATAATCAGAGCAACAGCAACCCCTGATATCAAATTTTCTTCTTCCGCAAATGGCCAGGAAAGGTGTGGTCTACGAGGAGGGAACTGTGACCGACGCCGACGCCGACGCGTCCACGGCGGCGGCGAAGGCGAAGGCCGTGGAGATAAAGAAGCAACTGGAGAGGCTGGTGAAGGCCATTGTCGATGAAGACGACTACAGGGTCGAGACTGCTGACCAGGCCATCAGAGCCTTGGCTTCTTTGAAAGACTTGAAGTCCGAAAAGTCTTTTTCTTTCAAGCTTCACGGCGGCGGCGGCGGTACTGTAGTCGTCCCTAAAGAATTCAGATGTCCCATTTCCGGAGAGCTCATGGCCGACCCTGTTGTCTTGGCCACTGGAGAGGTATCAGGTTCACAAATTTTGTTACTTTTCTTTTTATTTTTGAAATGTTCGTGGCTAATTCGAATTTGCATGCAAGAATTTCGTGTTTTGAAGATTTGGGTTGTCCTTAAATTTGGGATTTTCGTTTTGTTCTGGTATCAAGATTGGTTCTTTATTTTTGAAATTGGGATTTCAATTGGTTTTTCTTTGTTCTTGCATAATTTGCTCTGTGATTTCTTCGTTCTTTGTTAATTGTGTTTGATATGAAGACGTCTAAAATTAAGATTATACATACATACACACACACACACACACACATATATATATATATACAAATATACATACATACATACATATATATATATATATATTGTAACTCATGCAGTTTCTAATATGGTAGCATTTTGTAGCGTTTATGAATTATTTAGGATCAGATCACGGCTTCTGCAAATATGGTAGCATCGCTTGCTTGCATGTCCGATGTTTTGCTTTGCTTAATAGCACCTTCAATTCATGCAGTTTCTAATATTTGTTTACATATCTTTATTTGATTACAGACGTTTGATCGACCATTCATCCAGAGGTGGTTGAACGAAGGCCACAGAACTTGCCCTCAAACCAAGCAAGTCATCTCTCATACTGTCCTTACCCCTAATCACCTGGTTCGAGAAATGGTTTCACAATGGTGCAGGGAGCATGAAATTGAGCTTCCGAAACCTGTTCAGGATATTGATGAGCAACTTGTCACCAATGCAGACCGAGGATGTCTGAATTCACTGCTTGAGAAGATGTCATCATCTCTATCTGATCAAAAAGCAGCAGCAAAACAGCTTCGACTGCTAACAAAGCGAAGTTCATCATTTCGGGCACTTTTTGGTGAGTCCACTGAGACCATTCCGCAGTTGCTCAATCCACTTTCACCGGGACAGGTTGATGCTCATCCTGATCTTCAAGAAGATCTGATCACAACGCTACTAAACCTCTCAATTCATGACAATAACAAAAGATTAGTCGCAGAGAACGCTTCAGTCATCCGTCTGCTTATTGAATCCTTGGAATATGGAACCGTCCAAACAAAAAGCAATGCTGCCGCAACTTTCTTCACATTATCAGCAATTGATTCCAACAAGATTACTATTGGAGCATCCGGTGCTATCAAACCTTTGATTGACCTTTTAGACGTGGGGCATCCATTAGCGATGAAGGATGTTGCTTCGGCAGTATTCAGCCTGTGTACTGTCCTCGAAAATAAGGAAAGGGCCATCAATGCTGGAGCAGTCGGGGTGATTCTGATAAAGATAATGGATCATGTTTTAGTTGCCGAGTTGTTAGTTATACTTGCAATGCTTTCCAACCATCAGAGGGCCGTTCAGGAAATGTGTGAGCTTGGCGCTGTGCCTTGCTTGATTGGAATCACAAGGGAGAGCGACTGCGAGCGCAACAAGGAGAACTGTGTTGCAATCCTTTACACTATCTGTTTTGCTGACCGGACGAAACTGAAGGAAATTAAGGAAGAGGAAATGGCCAGAGGTACATTTTCTAGACTCGTACAGACCGGAACTTCGAGGGCAAAGAGAAAGGCGAGAGGAATTCTTGAAAGACTGAATAGGACTGGTGCAATAACGCACACTGCTTGACAGAAATCGAACTTTTCTTCTTCTTTTTCCTCCCCCGAAAAGGTATTACCCTATCACACCCCATGTAAATGTCGTATATTTCGTACTAAACTCCAGGTATACCTGTACACAGAAAAGAGCTCACTGATTTGTACACATAACTTGAAATTTTCCTAGGCAAAGTTTTGGTCCATTTCCAGACGTGTAAAGGCCATTGGAATTTCTCCTCTCTTTGATCACAAAAGAAATCACAACTAGTACATTTTGTTTCTCTCTGTTTTGTGGCTCATTTTTCCGATTCTCGGGTAGAACCGGTGGCATATCACACTGTTAGTATCTCTCCCGTCACGTGTTACATTTTTCGGGTTTGTGCCAGCTGTGCATTGCATTTGGCTCTTTGAAATGCCATCATAAATATAATAAGTTTCATTTGGATTTTGTGACTGAATGATGATTGTAGGGCCTCCATTGTTTCTGCCACCCTAAAATTTGAAAGTGTGTCGGCAGGTTGACCACACCAAATTGCATTATTTCGGATCTCTTTTCTTTCTTAATTCAATACTTAAGCACTGGATAAAGTCCTTAAACCCTAATTAGGTTCGATAACGACATGTTTAGTCGGTGCTAATAGGATTTACGAACTTTAATAATGAAACAACAGTTTAATGTTAATAATATAGCAGATTAAGCGCAGAATGATGCTGAAATCTAGTAATTTGTGATTCGTTATTCCACTAATCACCTTGCCTTTCTCAGCATTACACTGTACATAGAGACGATGATTAATTAACATTTTAATTAAGTATTCATCATGATTAATAAAATCTTACTGGATAAAAGCAAATATGATCCCCTCTGCCTTTCTTTTTGTGTTTGCTTTGAAATTTGTAGCCAGTACTTTACTTGAAGGCCTAATTTTCCAACTACCTCTATATACCAGTGACTGATTTTTTTTCATTTATATTTTATAATTAATTGGCCTTCTGCATGCTTAAAAACTCTGGTTGGCCACAACACTGTACAAATATTTAATTATTATTTTAAGGCTTCTTAATTTTGTTTATCCACATCTTTAAGTAACTTTGAAAACTTGGATTCGGGAAAGGTTTTTTTTTGTGTTCGAAATACGGACACATACAACTTATATTATTATATAAGTAGAAAGATACTTTCAAAAAAAATTTGTATCAACTTGTTTAATAACATATAGTGTACAACCCCATATTTAGGGCATATGAAAAAACCTATTGAATACAAAACTTTTTTTTTTTTGGTCTGATGAGCAATATTATTAGACTAAAGGAAAAGAGGATTGGAACTTAAAACACTCGGAGTTGAAGAGCCTTATCTAACACGATGGTGGAGTGTGACTGGGGCATAATTTAGTTGAAAAGAAAACTGCCAACTGAACTAATTTTGTTAATTAAGTAGGATTAGTTATAAACCCTGCTTATTTAGTTGTTGTAATTGTTGCTTGATGGTTAACAAATATCAACCTTCCAACAACTTGTCGCTTGATATCTTTCTATGGCTAATATATATTTGTTCACTCAATATATACTTTTAGGAAGAACTGATTTGAAAGTAATACTATTATGTATATCAATACAAAGATGAAATTTGGTTTCATAGTGCAGAGAAATTCTAATGTCCGCCCATCGGACCATGCAACCATGCTGAGTTGGTTTTACCCTTGCATGAGAGTGTTAGTCGTACACCAGAACTTCTCCTTAATATGATGCAAAGAAAATCTGAATTTCCAAATTCTCACACATCGGGAAAAGGGTGGTGCTATCCACACATTTTTTTTTTATCTCTCACACACTCCTATCAATTTTTAGATCCGTTCGAATGAATTGAAGGATACCAAATGACAGAAATTAATAGAATGTGTGTAGAAAGTAAAAACGGTTATGTGGATAAACAATCTTGAAAAAATGCAAACCACATTTCACTACAAGACATGATAAACCCTAGAGGACAACTCGTATCATGCGGCCCTTCATGGTGCCATTTGCTGGTCCTATCCCATCTTTGCTGACAAAAACCAACATTCATCAAGAATCTCTGAACATTCTAAAAAGATGAGATGCAGGAATCGAATTTCCCCCATGATACTTGGAAGCCATGGATTTAGATTCCCCCAAGAGGCTTATTACTGGCTTCAATTTTTTGATACGTTTGATTTGGCATGTAATAGGTAAGAAGATATTCGATAGTATTATCAAATTAAGACATTTTTTGTGCTAAATACGATCATATGAAGTTGAGTGTGATCAAAATACAGTGAAGTTTCATATTTTTGTACAAATAATGTAGTCGAAAACCATCGTTTCTTTTCTAGTTTCTAATATTTTGTGCTTTCGGTTGAGTGAGGGAGTGGTCCTAAAGGCTAAAACCTTGAAGGAGGGAGGTGGTGGGGGTAGCAACTTTTTGGGTTTGACAAAGTAATACCACAAGAAGAAGATGGACCATGATTAAGAAATTGTTTAATGGTGCTTTAATCCATGCTTAAAAGAATGTTTATGATAATGAAACCCCCCCTAAATCAACGGCCTACACTTTTTAGATCCCTTGTCTGCTGGTGTTGTTTTTACTGCCTCCAAAATATGGACTTTGGAAAATATCAAAAGTAAAAGTAAAGACCATTTCTTCAATTTCCAAACAAAGAAAAACAAAAAAGTAGTGGGGCATCCAAAGAATATTTTATTCTCCATTCAAAGTTCTTTCTTATCCAACAAGTTCGAATCTATGTGCATGAGATGGAAAAATCTTGATTGTAACCGAGAATATATCACTATTTAAACGTCTTACTTGTTATGCAATCAGATTGTGATTCGTGAGACATTTATATGAGGATATATTTCTAGTTAAAAAGTAAAAGCTCTCGTGAACATCATAGTTTGTATGGTGGTCTATAATTGGGGGACCAAGATAGAGAAGAAGGCTAAATTCGCACCTAACATAGGCAATGGCATCTCAAAGTTTCTTCAATTGCTTAACTACCACTAAGCTTTCTGCAAATAGAAAATTATCGCCTGCTGAATGAGATTCTTACCTACAATCAGGAATATATTCAATAAGTCTACATAACTTATCATCTAAGAAGATATATGTCCGGTGACACTAAAACATTTCTCCAAGCAATGAGTTCTTGAGGAAACAGTTCGGGTAACGATTGTCGTAGACTAATGAGGATATATCCTCGGTGACACGAGAGAATCTCTCTGGGCCTTGAGGCCTTAAGGACAGGCTTCAATGGACAGAAAAATTGGATGCAACAGTTGAAGGGTTAAGCTCAGTACAATTCAATTGGGTAAAAAGTGGAACAGAATGCCCAAGACAAGCAAAGGGAAGCCCAACTCAATTTTGAGGTATGGAGAAATCTAAAGATTCTTGAAATGAACAAAATTGGGCAGCCACAGATCCAAAGTGGAGATTCCCGAAGTCCACAAAACACCAGAAAGTGAACAAATATATGTAAAGTGCAATTGTGAGTTAGACCAGTTGTTCAGTATAATATGACCGCTATTTACATTCAATTCAAATTCCATCTTCTATAAAAACATATTTAGAATATCGTTTTGTTAAGAGAAAGACGCACGTACTAAGAGCTACCGCTTGGAAGTGGCAGTGACCCATGAGGGCCATCCCTCAACTAATGATTATAAATCAAACAGAGAAACAAGCTTCATATCATATATCAGTATTTTTTGGCTTTCGAATCATTGATCGATAAATTCTTGGTCACACATCTAACTCTTCATTGCTGTAATACTTGTCATGCACCAAGCATAGCAGAATCTTCTCTACGTCTTGTTTTTATCGGAGGGGCAGATTAACTTGGCTTCTCCTTTCAATATCAGAAATACAAGTACTTCTAGATTAAAAGCTAGTTTGTTTGATAAACTCGGAAATTTCGAAAATTTTGATTTCTTAAATACAAAATAGATAGATAACAAAGTTAAAAATGAGGGGAAAATTAAATAAGAGTGTCACAATTTGGCACTAACTTCTAATTTTCATCTCATTCATAAGCTTGGTTCCATCTTAGCTAGCTACAAGAACAATAATTAACACATGTTGAAGAAAACAACACATATAAAGATAGCCAAGGCACTTGAGTTTTTCTGGTCTCTAGGCATTCTAATTCCTATGAGTTTTGAAACACCTCTTGCTTCATGAAGCACAAGCAGGCACAAAGCAAGCAAACAATCCCAGCATTTTCTTCTGCAGAAAACAAAAATTCAAAAACAATTAAAAAATAATCAAAAGGGTATTTAAAAGAGTAAAAGTGACAAGATTGAGATCCTCTTTAGATTTCTGTGTCTAAAGCAGCCGAATCAGGGAATTCAGGCCGTTCAAGAGAGAGAAATTCAGACCGTTCAAAGACTTTGTTTTTTGTGAAGTGGACAAATAAAATGGACTAACAAAGACCGTATAATTTAAATTAAGAGGTTCAAAATTCTTAATTCAGTTGTTTCATTGGATCTCTACTCATTCCAAAATGCCCCCAAAAGTGTTAAAATTATATACACGACAAAATAGGTAGAAGTCACATCATTATGCATAATGGTGTTGAATTTCAGACCACCGGAGGTCATATTTTCAAACTAATCATGTGGAACTCAGTGCATGATGGACAACTTTTTTTCACTAATTCTCAGTACCGTGTTGAAAATTGAAACACGACAATGTCCCCGAGTATAACTGTCCTGCAAAATGTTTGACGAAAATTCTAATATGTTCTGATGTATAAATTTTTCCACCATATTTGAGAGTAAAACTCTCACACAACATATTCGCAAAAATTCAACTATGTTTCAGTGTATAGAAATTCATATCATGTTTGTTGTTTGCAATAAAAACTCTCATCTAAGTTCCACAAAAATTTTATTATGTTTCGGTGTATTTTATATTTATAAAATGTGGAAATTATACCCGCTTGGTGGTGTGGAGGAGCTCAGGGGGTATCTTGTAGAGATCTTCGTCGATAGGCTTGGGTCTTGAAACGGTGTCGCTCTTGTGATGGTGGAGGTGTGTGCGATTGGGTTGTTGAACATGGAGTTGATAGTGATAGGGTTTAGTTGGCGGTTCCGTCACGTCACAGACTTTTGTCCCCTTCGATTGCTGCCTCTTTTGCTCCATAACATGCGCACGCTGCCCTCGCTTTTCCCTCCCTCGCCCACCACCACCACCTCCTCCTCCTCCTGCTGCTGTTGCCTGCACCAATAAATATACGGTCTCACTCTCACATATTATATCATCATTTAATTAATTTCATCAACTACTCTCTCTGACATTTAAATAATGCATAAGCTAATGTGTGACAATATCATAAATAGGACAGGTGTTACGGAGGGAAAGGAATCCTCTCCGGATCTCTTCTACCTAATCCTCCTCATCAAATAATCTGGACTCTTGAAATTTAAACCAACGGTTAAGGTTATTATAACTTTTAAAATGGATCCCTGTTTTTAGTCGTTGGATCAAATTTCAAGAATTCATACTGTTTGATGAAAAGAATTAGGTGAAAAGGATCCGGAGATGATCTCTTTCCGTTACGGAGTACTCAAAACACCGTCAAATGATGCGTCGATTTTAGTGAAAATCAAAGCATTAATCTTTGTTTTTTATATTAATATCTCATAAAATTGAAATATATTCACCTATTAAAGTTAAAATACATGAAAATATACTACTGGTCGCATAAAAATTTATAGTAAAATAGGCATCATGCTTTTGGAAATGAGCTAGCTCACCTAAGCTAGCTAGCTTAAATAATTAGCTCATAGGTGTAAATAATTAGCTTCTAAAGTCTTGACCAAAAATAATTGCATATCACAAATACCCTTTTACAATGTCAATCTAATTTTGGAAATAATTTCCTTTTACAATTTCTTGTACCACAAATACCCAAATCACATTACTAAATATGCAAAGGGAATGAAAAACAAAAGCAAAAATGCTCAAATTAAATCATAAATCAAAGAAAAAGCAAAAATATTTACAAAAAAGAAGATGTAGGGGGATGAAATTAATGTTAGAACCTTTCGAGGAGGAGCAACGTTGCAAGAAGGCTTCTTGAAGTGATCGACAGGAACAGCATACAAGTCAGGGCGCATATGATCAGTACTCTCGCCGGAGGAAGAGCTGAATCTGATCAAACCAGCTTGTCTTGCACACTCGAAATACTGAGTGATTGGCAGTTCGTTTGCATAATCCCAGTCCCCAAACGCCGGAATCTGCCCACTCCTCTTGTAATAGTCCTGAATCACCACCATCCAAACACAAATCAAAACATTAAAAACCAAACAATAAGAAGAAGAGAAAGGTTACTGAGAAAATGGGTGAAGAACTTACATCCATTGTGTTTGTGGGTCAGTTGTAGAAAATAGCAAGAACCCAATTGAAAGATTGGATTTTGAATGCAAAGGTGAAAGAAAGAAAGAAAATTTAAGGGGTGGTGTGTGGAGATTGGCTGTGAAGAAACTAGGAGTTAAAGGAGGGGGTGTGGGAGCAAAAAGGTGAAAGAAGCTATGAAGAATCCTGAGGAAAAGTCAGAGGATATAAATTATGGTCAGTGTTAAAGAGAGAGAATCTAGGAGGAGAGAGAGCGAGATGATCTCAAAGTTGCTTTCCTTTTACTAGATTTATAGCATCCAGAAGCAAAGGCTCCGAGCACGAAAGATAGCTTATTTGGGTAGGGCAATGGCAGCCCTCAGGGCCTTGTTTTGGGGGGATGGCTACTGCTTCTGCTTCTGCTTCTGCGTCGGCTTCTGCATCATATGTTTACAGTTGCGCTATTCACTATACACACTTGAGAGAGAGAGAGAGAGAGAGAGAGAGAGAGAGAGAGATGGAGGAGATGGTGGTGGTAGTTGACAATTTAATCAAATTCCTCAATCTAGTAATGCCACATTTCAACCATGCCTGATAAAAAGATGGTTTTTTTTCACCTCCTCGGTTCACGCGGTAGACAGGTGGGCCCCAGAAATTCCAGGTTTTCCCACTTGAAAACCTAATAAATATCTCCTGAGAAAGTTGAATTCTTTTTTTCCTTTCAACTGTTTGCAATGCAGAAGCCTAGCTAGTAGCTGGTCTAGTGGTTGTGACCGTGTGACCAAATGTATGGCCCAAAGTTGAAGAAGTGCTTATGAATAATATATGTATAGTTAGGTCTGCTGCCAAACTTTGCTTATTGCTACTACCGTGGGAGGAGAGGATTATTGTGGTGGATTTAGTGGTAAAAAGCGACTTTTGGGAAGAAGCACTTTTCGATAAGTCATGCCCACCATTTCCGGATCCTTGTCCATTTCCCAGCTTGAATCCAGTAAAATAAGACTTGGTTTGGTACTAAGATAATTCTGAAAAAAAATTATATAAAAAAAAGCTGGAAGCTGTTTTTATGTTTGGTAAACATTTAGTTTTAACTTTTTTTCACAGTTTTGGGTGAAAAAAAAACCAAAAACAAGAAGTTGCAAAACCCAACTTTGAAAAACTGGTTTTTTTTCACATCTGTTTTACATAAAAGTTTACCAAACACTATAGTACTTTTTTTTTTTTTTTTTACAAAAGCACTTCTACCAAAAAGTTTACCAAACACTCTGCTACTTTATTTTACAGCTGCTTATTCTCACAGTACAGTAAAAGAACATAAAAACATGATGAACCCTAAAAATACCAAAGGGAGATATAAATGGTATTTGATTATGCATACAGATCACTATGCCTCTAGCAAATGAGATATATTTAGGAATACAAGTATTACATGCTTATGTGTATAATAACGAATTATACTCAAATAAACTAACTAGGAATTGAAGAGCTTTAATTTAGCTCAATTTTTACATGCTTATGGGTATAAATACATGTGTTATACACATATGCATGTATTTATGAATACTTTTATTTTTTTTTATACATTTCTCGAAATTCAAAAACATGACAAACATCCATTTTAAAAAACAAATGTTTTATATACATGTTCGTACACCTCAAGTTTAGGGGTTTACCAGTCTCGTATTTCACCAGCTATTATTGAGTATATTGATATTGGATGACAATGTTCTATAAACATGTATGCAGGTATCCACTTTAGGGTGCGTTGTTTGCCATCATTAGTTTTTACTGAACTGGACTAAGAGTTAATATAATTTTGAATTTTTTACCTGCAAAAACTAGTTTTAATGGAATTAGAAGAAACACATCTCCACTAAAGAGTTTGCTAAACAGTCTTAGCAAGACCACCCCCCCTTTTTCTCCCCGCTTCTTTCTTTCTAATACTATATTAGTCACGTATTTAGTCAAACTTCAAGTGAGAATGAGTATTAAATAAACAAATATTTTATACACGTGTGCGCACATATTCCACTTACTAACTTTGTTTTAATCGAACCATAAGTGAGAATTAATATTGGATGTGCAGATGCGGTGACATATATTTCAACAGACACAAGTCATGATCCTTGGAGAATATTGTTTTCAATTAATTAACAAACTCTACCTAACTGGCACCAGCGGCAACAGTTGAAACGGGAAATTAATTAACATAAAAACGTATGGTCAAAATCACAGAAGACCGAATCACGTGAACAAAATCCAATTTAAGATACCAACTTACAGCACCAAATTCCAGAAAATTCATGTGAACATGCCTTTGAATCTGCATGTGTGATTACAGAAACATCCTCAAACGCCATTGCTATCTGCCAGAGTTTTCTTAACGTCAACCGCGGCAGGCGAACGCGAGGGGATCCAAGAATCGCTGCCATCGAGGAGCCTAAAAGTTTTGACCCCCTTTTGTCTTTGTTAAACTATTGGTATAATTAGGGTTTCAATGTTGAAAAAAGCTTTGCTGTTGGTGCCTTGCTGGTGTAAAAAGAGTGATTGTCAACAACTTTGACTCCAAGCTGTAAGGCTTACAAATTTAGCTAGCAGTGTTAAAGATCACTGACGTGAGTCAAATTAAACTGTCTATTTAGTACTTTCTAAATCATTCACCTTCTGTGCAAAAGAAACGCTATTGCTAGAAATATGTTTATTTTAAATACTGAAATTGTGACAATATTAACTAAATAGTTAAACGATATCTGATTTAGTTAATTGTATGTAGCATTAATCTTAAATAGTAACTTAATAAGTAAATTGTTCAGATCATCCAACTATATCATACGTTTAAGGGAGATCGAGAAAATAAAACACGAAAGTTCAAATGAAATGAATTGCGAGCATCTCCATGTATTACACGCATATTATATTATTCATGCATGTGCGATTTGACTATTTAGCAACACAGATCAGGAAGCACAGCAGGATGCCACGAATAACACACTGTGGAAAGTAGACGTGCTCAGCTAAGAGTCTCGAGTCTTTACCATGGGTCCATGGTATGTACAGAGGAATGGAGGTAGGGGGAGCCTCTGGGGGTCCATGGTAGGTAGAAGACGACCGAGTGGCTTAAAGTCAACAGTATATATCACATATTCCAGTGTAAACCGTGTAAGTAGGGCAGTGTAGCTGATCTGACACACACATGATACATGTCCTCTTGCATTTTCTTGCTAGAGGACATTAGCAACCGATCAAAGAGTTAATACATAGGCCAAAACAGAAGAACGGAACACGCACTTTTTGCTAAAAGCCTCAATTTATCCTTACAGAGCTTGTTTGAATATGTTATTAAAATAATTAAAAGTATTTTTGATGAAAATAATACTTGGTAAAAATGTTAGTAAATTCTGAAAAATCACTTAAAATGCTTATTGGAAAAAACACATAACCAATGCTTCTTGTAGAAAACATTTAAAGTGATTTTGGAATCCAAAAATATTTTATCTAAAATCATTTTCAATCATTTTAAAAACACATCCAAACAAGCTCATATTAAGGGGGAAAACTTGGGTAAATTGTCGAACAAAAGATCGATTTGTATAAAATAGTTCATTGTTACATGACGTTTTAATCTCACAATATAAGTCAAATATATTATGTGGGATGCCTATCACAAGATCATGTCATTTGTGAGGTACTAATTCTTGTAAAAGTATGAAGATTTTTCTATGCTTCTTTCTATAGGATTGTGGTCCAAAAGAAAAATGGGAGAGAGACTTACAGGCACTTTTTGTAATACTACCATGACATTCTTCTTTCTATAGGATTGTGGTCCAATAGTAAAATAGGAAAGAGACTTACAGACACTTTTTGTAATACTACCTTGACATTCTAATCAATAACACGATGTAATGTATGAAAAACACTCTGACAATTATGTTTTTAGTTGGAGATGCCACAATGGCAAAATACTTAATATAGTCCTTCTCCTAAATTAGGATTCTTTGGTGAAAATATGGGTCTCACTTTTCCACAAAATTTTAATGTATAGTATTCATAATTAAATGTATCGTTATATTATTAAGAGATAAAAGAGCAGTAGTCTATACATGGACAAGATCACGACGTTTTTGTTAATGTATCGTTGTATTAAAAGATTAAAAAAAAATCATGTATGCATATCACATTATAGATCTAATAAGTTGTGCACCATTTTCTCTCTATCTATCACGTGAGGATAAAGTTGGAAATAAAACGATACACACCTTGTTGCAGGTAAGTTTCTCTTGAAAGAGAATCGAAACTATAGCTGCAAATAGCAACCCAATTATAAAACTTTGGGCTACCCCCACTAAGTGAAATGGTTGGGCCACCATTGTTGTGAATTGTTTTGGGCTTCTTTGTTTTAAAAAAAAGTCTTATTTTCATTTGTTGCATTGGGCTTGGATTGTTGCTTTTATTGATTGTCAAAACCTGTGTGATGTAATTGGTCCATTTGATAAACGTTTCGCTGCAGGTTTTCAGCTACAGTACATGGAAGAATTGAGAGATGATGAATGGTACGGTAGAGAGGGAAAGAAATAGAGTAGAAGTGAATACAAAATCTTAGAAGTGAAAACAACTCAAAATAGTTTTTTAGTTTGTTATTCATTTGTCAAGAATTTCCTGATATACAATAATGAGTGAATACAAAATCTTGAAAGTGAAAACAACTTAAAATAGTTTTTGTTTTTGGTTCGTTACTCATTTGTCACGAATTTCGGATATAAAGGAACGAGTAAATACAAAATCTTGGAAGTGAAAACAACTCAAAATAGTTTTCTTTTTTGGTTCGTTACTCATTTGTCAAGAATTTTCTCATTCAAATGATTAAAGATGTATACTATGTGCACAATCCTCCCTTCCCACGATTAGGGTAAAATTTATGTTCTTTCAAATTTAAAATTACAAAAATGTGAATTGGGGACCATAATGTGAAGGTAAAAGAGTTTCATATTGGTGAAATGAGAAACTTTGCAAGGGTTTATAAAAGGTTGAGTTACTCTCTATATTAGTTTTATGGTGGAAGTTCAACTTTCTTTATGGTTTCAGAGCTAGGTTGGCTCACATGTGAAGCCCAACCCCACACATGCTCCACGTCACTCACTTCGTGTTGTTCATGTATTTGGTTTGAAAATTTGTTACACGTACTCCACGTCATCCAATTCATATTGTTCATGTGTTTGGCTTGAAAAACGTGGTGCGTAAGAATGTATACAGAGAAACCTCCGGCAAGGCTTGTCGCAGAACAGTATACATAGAACCCTCCACCAAGTTGTCACCAGAAAAATAAAAAAGAAAACCCCCTCAGGAAGTTTTACTGTATCACAAAAAGTTGAAGATGAACACGTCTATAAAACCTCACAAGGCAATGCACAGAGTAAGGCTACCCCAATTTGTTATCTTAATCATTTTTTGATCTCTCAAGTTTTCAACTTTCTAGCTAAACTTAGTGCAATCTATAACTTTATAAAAACCCTCCAGCAACTCAGCAAGGTTTGTCATTGCCACAGAACAGTATATAGAGAACCGTCCAGGAAGTTGTTACCAGAAAAGATAAAAGAAAACCCACCCTACTAAGTTTTACTTAAATCACAAAAAGTTGAAGAAGAAGAAAAGGTGCGAACTTTCGGATTCCATGTCTATAAAACCTCACAAGGCAATGCACAGAGTAAGGCTACCCCAATTTGTTATCTTAATCATTTTTTGATCTCTCAAGTTTTCAACTTTCTAGCTGCCTCTCTGGGTAGTTATTTCTGGGAAAGCTTAGCTCCTTCTTCTTCTTCTTCTCTGTATAAAACCCTCCCCATTAATTATTTGATCGTCTTTATATAATTACTTTGGATGTTTATTTGCTCTGTTCTGTATTCATATCAATTCGAAGCTATGTATTTTGGTCCAAGAAAGTGATCAAAGTAACCCAGTTCATCAATTTCTCTGGAAAGAACCCTACCATGATCAGATTCCCACTACATTAGGCGTACCATTTTTGTAATTTTTGTAAATTTTCCGAATTCGAATGAAAGCATTCAACTTTCTTCATTTTCCTCAGCAACCAAGCAAACCAACAAGAATTAACATTTCAACAGGCTGGATTTTCTTAGAAAGAACACTTGTTGCTACATAAACATGAGTACTCTGTTTTAAAGCCTCTTTTCTTTTTGATTTTCGGTTGCCCTCACTTTGATCCTTTGTTTTTATAGGTATAAGTGCTAGTTCTGCAATGGCTTACGTTCCACCACACAGGCGGCACTTGAAGGAATCGGAGAGGCCATTGCTGACTCCAGAGCTGCTTGCTCCTCAATACAAGAAAAACTTAAATATCAAGCCATATAATAAGTCTAATGTGGAATGTAATGGAGAAATAGTTTATGCAGACCATTCTACATTTAGATGGTGCGCCATCGCTTTGGATGACGAGAACCAGTTTCCATCTTCTGTTAATCTTGAGCCCATTACCTTGGAGTCAGCTGAGCTGAATTATGGAAAAAATCATGTAGCTCTGATCAATACTAGTCTAATTAATGGTTAGAACCTCAATATTTCTTTTAGTGCGGTTTTCTTATAACTTGTTACTTGGGTTATGGATTTGTTAGGCTGATACTTTACAGAAGGAGGTGAGGTGAAATGGAATTTGCCAAGGAGCCCTTGGGAATCTATAACAGAAAATGTGCTGGAAGACTTACTTTCGACATTTAAACACGTAAGGAATGAAATGAAGTCTACAAAGCTCAAAGAAGTATATCCAACCTTGGTTGCCAGAGTAGGGAAAGTACTCTTTCGCAGGTTAGATTCCCTCCTTATCTAATCCATTGGTTTGCTTTTGAGCCTCATGTGCCATTCATTAACTTGATTGTGTCATGCGATTATTCATTAATTTGATCTTTTAGCTGCCTCAGAATACTGGCTAAAGTAGAACAAAAGAATAGTCTATACTCTGATAAAAGGTCATATTTTGGCCTTTTAGCTTAGAAGATATGGTGCCATGTTCAACGGTGAAGTAGGATTATGAAATTCCGCCCTTGTTTTTCAATACTTGATACAGTCATATTTCGGTATTGAAGCTTAATCACTGTCAGTCATCTCATATTTCACCTTAGTTTTGCAACAATGCTTAATCACTGGCAGTCATCTCATATTTCACCTTTGTTTTGCAACAATGGAAAGGAATGTTTAAATACTCAGTTGTACATGAGCAGATGAAGGACAATTTTTTGTTAAAATCTTTATGTCAGGAGCCCTTCAGTTAACATGGAATCTATCAGAAAAAAAATTGTCTACAGAAACCTGGAACAATTGGGGAAATCAATTTACACAAACATCCCTGTTTCATATAAGGAAAAGATTGTAAAGGACGTTGTCCCGAAAGTTGGAGTTGATTTCGAAGAGGAGAAAGATATATACCAAGTAAAGCTATTCAGCCTTTTGTGCCATTCATTTAGTTGATTGTTCCAAGCGATTATCCTTTTTACCTTTATGTTGTTCTTTTATCCGCCTCAGAATACTGGTTGAAGTAGAACAAAACAATAGTCTATACTATGATAAAAGGTTACGTTTAGCATTTTAGTTTAGAAGGTAGGATGCCAAGTTGAACAGTGAAGCAGGATTGTAAAGCTCTGCCCTTGTTTTTTGATGCTTGATACAATATTATTTTGGTATCGATGCTTAATTACTGTCAATAATCATATTTCATATAATTTGTACACGAACAGATGTATACCAATTTTTGTTGAAATCATTGAATCAGGAGCCCTTCAGTTAACATGGAATCCATCAGAAAAAAATTGTGTACTGAAATCTCGAAACAATGGAACCGATTATTTTACATAAACACTCCTGTTTCATATAAGGAAAAGATTGTGAACGAAGTTGTCCCCAAAATTGGGGTTGATTCCGAAGAGGAGGAAGATACATACGAAGTACAGGTATTTCTTTTAGACACGTCAACTTACTGAGTTCTGAGTTCATGTTTTCCAGAATTCTGACTGTAGCTATTGAATTGCTCATTTATTTTCTTCTTGTATAGTTGTCTGATTCTACGAATCCAGATTCACCTCTCTTCTGCAGATGTCGGGTAATGAAAGAACATGGAAAGCTTCAACTCTGTGAGGCAAGTTTTCCAATTCATGCCAACTAAATTTGATGAAACCGTATATGTTGCATCAATATCACGATTGAGTTGCCACGATATTGATTGGATAATTTAGATATAATATATTATGCTGCAAAATATGAGTGTTGTATAACAAAACCCTCCAATTTTTGAAATAATTCGTGAGGAGCCTTTCCAGCTCATTAATATTGTCCGGACTCTTCCCTCTCTTAATTTTCCCTGTTGCTTGCCGTAGGGTTTGCATCCTGAGACTTACATCAAAATGTCAACTTTGTTTCAGATCAAATTAAATCGAGCGCGTAACATGGTAGTGGACATTTCATGCACTACTAAGAATCTGGACCTGAGGCTAATCCTATACACGACAAGACTCGCAACTAATCTGACTGTAAGCTGCTTCACCCAGTCCTTTAGAAATTTACACTTTTAATCCTTATTTCAGCAAAGATATTAATTATGACCTATATTTATCTTCAAGCCACAATCAAAACAAAGAATAGGACTTTTTTCTAGAAATGTAACGGGGCGATGGGTTAACCATACTGGATCCCTGGCTGAACTTATGCTTCTTGGAATGAAGTTTCGTGATGTTCGGTTGGAGATACCCTTGTATGGTATAGCAAGCAGTTTAGCTACTTGTATGGATTTGCCAGTGTGGTTACGGTTTCTACGGTTACAATCTAAAAAAAAACGATTTCATTGTTGCTATTTCAGGATGATGAGATGCAAAGCATTACGGATCTGATTAATTCTGCGATTCTAGATCCAGATGTGAAGGGTGGATTGAGATGGTCTCCGGGGAAGGAGTCTTCTGGAGATAAATACAAAGTTGTTAGGGTTTGGCACATAATAGCAAATACGTATAGAAATTCATCAGTGAGACTGGAAGTAAAACGCACTGATCGATTTGATTTCAGAACCTTAACTGGGGAAGCTTATTGGGGGACAAGTCTGGTGCTGGAAAACGTCATGTCAAAGTTACAGGTAAACGCTGCCTTTTCTCTGGGACAAATTTTTGTAGTTCATGTGCTGAAATTAAAGATTGGGATGAAATCTCCTTTTCTTTTAATTTTCAGGAAGAGAATGTCGAAGCCAGCTCAATTTACGAGATACTCAAGGAAGATATGCAGTTGATATGGGATAACTTCTTAAGCTGTGAACGTTTTCTGACATGAAATTGCATTGTAAATCAGTGAGCACTGTCTATCTATGCGACTGTAGATCTGTCTACATCCCGAGTTTTATGTTCAACTTTCGGCATCGTTTGATGAATAATGAGTAGCTGTTTTAATGTTTCTAGCAATTCTGTTTGTATCTGGCATTGTTGATGGTTAATGAAGTTTTTTAGATTTTACATTTCGATGACTTGATTGGTTTTCTTCTAAGACAATTCTAGCCGTACATCTCTGGTTCGAAACTTCCCTCTCCTTGCATTATTGTAGTAGTTTCGAGCTGTCACCCCTCTCCCTAATAATAGTAAAAAAAATTATTTAAAAAAAAAGTATGGTTTTCTTGTTAAGACAGTTCATTAATTTGCCATGCATGTCTAACTGGACTTATATATGCAAGTATTGAAGAATGTTGAAGCCCACATCGGAAAACTGACGGATTCAAATACAACTTATACTGAATGGATGTACTAATAAATGCATCGAAGTCTTTTGTGTAAAATATCACAGCTCAGGGTAAAACTTTGACCGAAAGCATATATCTGTGATATTCATAGGTGGTACTTGAAGGCATGCTATATTATCTTCAAAGGTTAATTTGGTTTCTTTCTCTGTAACTCTGATGACCCCTTCAATGAACCTGGAATCTATAAGGGAAGGTTTCGATACCGAAAGGATAAAGAGGTGATGGCTATTATTACTTTGGTCAAAAGTTATTGGAAGTTTATATTTGGAGAAACTCAAAAGGCAATGCGAAGAGTAAAAGCCATATATATTAAAGTCTTTAAAGACTCATGTCCAAGCGTGCATTTTATATAAGTTTTGGTCTATGCTTTCAAGTTTTCAACTTTCTACCTGCGTCTGCGTACTGATTACTGTGAAAGTCCCCCTCTCCTCCTCCTCCTCCTCCTTCTCCTCCTCCTCCTTTTTGTACAAATTGAATGTCTTAATATTTATGATCACAATCCCTCATTCTCCCACTAGAGACAACACTTATTTAACACAATACTTATTGACATGAAATCAACTTTGTTAATACTAAGTTCTTCATGGATATTAGCTTTTGACTGAAATTTGTAATTGTGTGAATGTTTTAAGTTATATTAAGTATGATTTCATGTCAATACTAAACTCATACTTGTTAAACAAGTACGATGTAATCGTGGGATTAATTGCCTTGCTCCTCTCCTGTATGCATGTTCGTGTCACTCATATTTTTCGAGAGGGTAACGCAATTGCTAATTGTTTGGCTAATTTCGGTTTGAATCATTAAGGGATTATATGGGGACTCTTGTCCTCCTTGTGCAACTTCTACTTACATTCATAACCTTTCTTCAAGGCCTAATTTTAGGTTTTCATAGTTTGGTCCTTGATGGTTGCAGAACTATTAGTTTTTGTTGGGGTGGTTCGTGCTGGTAGTACTTATTATAGGTGGTCTACAGTTTCAGATTTTGCACATGCCGCCCATGCTTGTGACCTTGAGTTTCGTCTTGTTGTTTGTTTTCGTTAATGTTTCTTTGTTTTTCTCTTAGCAGGTTTTGGCTTTGTCCCCCGCCTGTATTGTTTTATTTTTGCTTTTCTTTATTTAATAAATTCGTAGATAGGGGACAAGAGGGTCATTTTATTAGGGAGTTAGCCCTTTCTAATCACTTTGAGCGGGAAGGAAGTAGCCTAATTGTAGTTGACAGCTAATCCTAGGGTCTTGCTTCTTTCTTTCCGCATTGTGTGGGTTTAGAGAATAAGGTTTCTACTATTGTAGTCCGACGACCAAGCCTTATGCATAGCTCGACTCGCCTAATCCTTTCGTTAAAAAAAAAGTTTATTTATAACTTAATGGTTCCCTTAAGTTCTTCATGGATATTAGCTTTTGACTGAAACTTGTAATCGTGGATTTTGTTAATACTAAACTCATGGCCATTTAAGTATGATTTCTCATGTGCTTGTGGGAATGGTGTGCTTTGCTCAATGAGGATTTTGTCGTTACACCGTGGGATGATGGTCATGAAATTATGATATTAGAATGTTAAGTTTTAGTAATGTGTTACGAAGAAACTTGAGGTTTTATTTTAAAATTAATTAACAGTATTGGAAGAAACTTTATTTTTTATTTTTATAAATGTAGAAGTCACTGTTATCACGTCATCACTTAACAATTAACTTAATAAATTTTCTATTAGATGTATGAAATTGAAACTAAAACCCAAGTTTTTGTATGACATTGTGACGTTTTAAAGATGATGTATGAAATTACAATTACACCCAAACTTAGTGCAATCTATAACTTTATAAAAACCCTCCAGCAACTCAGCAAGGTTTGTCATTGTCACAGAACAGTATATAGAGAACCGTCCAGGAAGTTGTTACCAGAAAAGACAAAAGAAAACCCACCCTACTAAGTTTTACTTAAATCACAAAAAGTTGAAGAAGAAGAAAAGCTACCTCACAAGGCAATGCACAGAATAAAGCTACCTCAATTTGTTACCTTAATCATTTTTTGGTCTCTCAAGTTTTCTAAGTTTCTGTCTGCCTCTCTGGGTAGTGATTTCTGGGTAAGCTTAGCTCCTTTTTCTTCTTCTTCTTCTTCTTCTCTCTCTTCTTATAAAATCCTCCCCATTAATTATTTGATCTTCTTTTTAAAATTACTTTGAATGTTTTATTTGCTCACGAACATATCATGCCTTAATAAGAATTTGGACCTCAGACTCATGCTATGCATGAAGAAGATCGTAACAGCTTTCGCTGTAAGTTTCTGTACCTGGAACACTATTGAGAATTTTTATTTTATTCTTCGTTGATTAAAATTGTTGGTGTGACCAGGATGATGAGATGCAACGCATTAGGGATGTAATTAGTTCGGCGATTCTGGATTCAAATGTGAAGGGAGGGTTGAGATGGCCACTAGGGAAGGCGTTTTCTGGAGGCCGGTATAATGTCGTTGAAATTTGGCATACATTTACCACTATTTATGAAAATCCATCTCTGAAACTAAAGTTAAGGCATGCGAATCGCTTCGATTTTACCACCTTAGCTGGTGAAACTGGTTGGGAGGTTAGGCTGTTTCTGAAAATGCTCGTTTCAAAGTTACAGGTAAGTCTTGTATTTATCTCTCACAACCAAGCATCTATCATGTAATGTACCTAGAAAAGATCTGTCATGTGTTCATCATATCATACGTCGATCTTATTCTTTTGATCTTTCAGGAGGAGAATGTTGAAGTCGGCTTGATTTCTGATATGCTGCAGGGGAATGTGAAGTTCATATGGGACAACTTCTTATGCTGTGAACCTTTTCTAACATGAAATGGAACTGCACGTTGTAAACTTCTCTATTGGAACAATGATTTACTACTTGGTTTGTTGTAAACCCCGGTATTTTTTGGCACTCGGTTCCTTCATCTTAAGTCATGTTCAGTTTGCTTTTTAGATTCGGAACTCTTAGTCGAGCTGATGGCGAGATCTTTTCTGCTGTTGGAGTGATTGCTTGCGGGAGTGATTTGCTTTGCTCAATTATGATTTTGTCATTACACTGTGGGATGATGGTTATGAATTTGTGATTTCAGAATGTTTAGTTTTAACCACCTCAAAAGTAAGGCTCTCAATGGACTTTCCACCACCTCATGCTTTTGACACAATTCTTGTGCCAACATTATAAAACATTGTGAAAAAAATGTGAGGTGATATAGTGTTCATGGAGAGTCTCACTTTGAGAAAGTCTCCTTAGTATTTCTCTTACAAAGAAAGTTGAGATTTTACTATAAAATCAATTGATAGTAGGGGAAAAACCTGATTCATTATAAGCTTATGCAAAGTTTGTTAACCTTATGATGGGAGACAATCTTTGATGAGAAAGATGTAACTACTAGATAACTAGATTTATAGTCATATGTGAACTAAATAATAATCCAAATGTTTAATTTAAGCATTTAATTAAACCATTATCCCTTACATGAGGTCTCTAGTTGATTTTTTTTAACCTTGATGGTACAAAGAATACTTATTAATAAGAAAATTAAAGTTACACTTAGATAGAAGGGCAAAAACCTTATCCCTCGCAACACAAAAAACAAGAAAGGAATAAAAACTTGATCCCTCCTAAATCTTGTAGAAAATGAATACAAGAAAATAGGGGTGCAAATGACCAAAACCCCTCAAACAAAACTTAAAAGTCATTGCAACCAAGCGACAATCTATAAATTATACCCGAAAAAGATTACCGCGAGTTGAATTATTCTCTCTAATAGTTTCTTGTATTAAAAAAAAATAAAAAACTTTAGATGTGGTCCTTAGTCTCTAACATTCTTTGATTAAAACCTTAATGTTATTCAAAGTTTGATCAAAGTCCCTTGACTTTGTACACCTCATTATATTACTATTAATATTTATATTTTTATAGTTTTGACATTAATTGTTTGATATTTTATGAGATTTATTAATCCTATAAATTTAAAATTCCCTTATTAAAATACTATTAGAAGCAGCTACAATAAAAAAATTCAAACATTTTGATTGAATAAATAGATAAAAACTATGTAACAATAAGAAATAATAAATGGCAAAAGATATTTACTATTCAAATGATTAAAGATATTTACTATGTGTGTACAATCCTCCCTTCGCAGAGTAACGCTAGGGTAAAATGTGAACTGGGGACCGTATATGGACCTACAAACCTCAACAAAAGTTAAACATAGTAATGGGAAAAAAACAATATCACTGTCAATAACTTCTTTTTTATTTTTTTACTTTATAAAAACCATCCAGCAAGGTTTGTCACAGAACAGTGTACAGAGAAATCTCTGATGAGTCTATTTTATAATATATATTTTATCCTAATTTTAGATTGCTTTGTTATTTATTTTGATGAAATTTTAATACTTTGATTTATATTTTTAAAGTAGAACATGCGACTTCCTCTTGAGCAAAAAATGATGAATTTTGGAGTAATTCCAATTGAAGGATGTTCGTGAGTCTCTCAGTTTATTCGTGCCAAAGTTTCAGATTTTCCTAACAAGTGGTTAATTTACGACGATGAAATAAAGGAGCAGTGCGCGAAGCTGTCAAAGTGACATTTTGATCTTATTTGGGTTTTTTGGCGTCCAAGATGGTGTCTTTTGCTATTGGACTCTTCTAAAGAAATGTTCAGAACATCTTAAGCTTTAAAATAAGTTATATTGGCCTGCTTTGGAGGTGTTCATGATTGTTTTGGAGACATGTTCATAACGTCTCAAGCTTTAAAATAAGCTATCTTGGGCATGTTTTGAAGGTGTTTTAGGCCTAAAACGTGGCTGTTTTGTGGCTGGGCTGATTTCCCATTATTGATTAGAATTATGTTTCCTAGTTTCTTTTAACTTATTATGTTTCTTAGTTTTTATAAGATCTTTTATGGGAAGGATTTTATTTGGTAGTAATGTAAATAAGGCTTATTACACCATTAGGGTTGGTGGCATTACTTTGGAGAATTTGGCTTAGAGGGCTTTTGGTTATTCAAGTTTATTTATAAGGTGTTTTCTATCCATGTGTTAATAATATTTTTCTTTATGATGTGCGTAATTAGTCTCTTTTGTTAGGATAAGGCCACGAGCCTTAGCAAGAATATGTAGTTTATTTTCAATTTATTTATGATTTATACATGCAAATTTTGTATTATTGTGTTTGAAATTATCTAATTGTTTTGATGCTTAATCACCATTAGGATATTTAGAAAATGAATTTGATGCAATTTGGATCGAAGGGCTGTCCCTGAAATTGACGAAAGTTTCTTATGGTTAATAATTGTAATTTCACTTAGGATGAATATTGCGTTTTAAGGGTTCATGGTTTTTCAAGGGATTTTCATAAAGCTTAAAAGAGGCTTGAATGTTTAGATTTGATTTGAATATCACGAACGAGTTGCATGTTTGAAATGCATTCTATATTAGGGGTCCAAATAGAGCATACTTTAGAAAAACCTAACCTTCAAAATATTCTTAAGTGGTTGAGAAAACTATATAGAATTGTTAAGGTGATAATGAAATTATAGTCCTTTTACAAATTACAACTTTATTTTCAAAATTCATTTTCTTTTGTTTTCTTTATTTTGCTGATTTATTTAATTATTTAATTAAAATTCGTTTTTATTATTTTGAATTTCAAAATCAACTTTTTCCAAACTTAATTTTAAATAGTAATTAAGAATTAGCTAAATACAAATTATTCAATCAATCTCTATATAAACCGATCTTATTTAAGTTATTTATATTATAATTATTTTGTTCTCTTACAAATATTTTAAAGTATATTTTGAGGTAAAATCCTATCAACCTCCACCAAGTTGTCTTGTCACTAGGAAAAGACAAAAAGAAAAACCCACTCCAGCAAGGTATCTCAAAGTTGAAGGAGAAGAAAAGGTGCAAACTTTCGAATTCCATGTCTACGAAACCTCACAAGGCAATGAACAGAGTAAAGCTACCACAGTTTCTTATCTTAAATATTTTTTTGGTCTCCCAAGCTTTCAACTTTCTATCTGCCTCTCTTGGTAGTGATTTCTGGGTAAGTTCTTCTTCTTCTCTCTCTCTCTCAACTTATCAAATTCTCCCCATTAATTGTTTGATTATCTTTATATATTTACTTTGAGTGTTTTATCTGCTCTGTTGTGTGTTCATATCAATCCGAAGCTATATATTTTGCTCCAACAAAGTGATCAAAATAATTACCCAGTTGATCAATTTCTCAGGAAAGAACCCTACCATGATCATACTCTCGGAGAAGGATCCTCTCCGGATCTCTCTCTGGGGATCCATGGGGATCGTTTAATCTTGGCCCTTCACGGAAATCGTGCGGTCACAATTAATTTTTGTTTTTTTCCACTCAAGCCCACGTAATCCTTCTGCCTTTGTCTGTTCACCCGCCCCAACGACCCCCACCGCCATCTGCTTCATCTTCCATTTTTGCCTCCAGATCCTTCGCATCTGCCGCCTAATCCCCATCGTTTTTCCCTTTACCTTTGCCTCCCGTCGTTTACTTTAACATCAAACTTTGAAACACTAAACCTCCTAAAATAATTGAATGAAAAAGTGGAGAATTTTAGAAAATTTGCATAGATGACAAAAAAAAAAAAAAAAAAAAGAATTAGTTTTTGACCGTTCGATTTACATAGATGATCTGGATCGAAGGATCCCCACGGATCCTCAGAGAGAGAGATCCGGAGATGATCCTGGTCCACTTTATTAGGCGAACCATTTTTGTAACTGTTCCAAATTCGAATGAAAGGTTTCAACTTTCTTCATTTTCCTCAGCAACCAGATAAAACCAATAAGAGCACTTGTTGCTGCATAAATATGAGTACTCTGTTTTTGGATTGCCCTCACTTTGGAGAAATTTTTAGTTGTGACGGGAATATGTATGGTAGGTATACCACATGTTTTTATGTTAGTGGTGGAAAATTTTAATTTTTAAGTTATTAACCTTTTAACACACATAACCCACCATTTATATAAGGACACGTGCTCGTGTGATGGTCACACTGAAAAATCTCTCCTTACTTTGATCCTTTGTTTTTATAGGCATAAGTGCTAGTTCTACAATGGCTTACGTTCCACCACACAGGCGGCACTCGAAGGGACCGGAGAGGCCATTGCTCACTCCAGAGCTGCTTGCTCCTCAATCCAAGAAAAACTTAAATGTCAAGCCATATAATAAGCCTATTGTGGATTGGACTGAAAATATAGTTTATGCAGACCATTCTACACATGGATGGTGCGCCATCCCTTTGGACGACGAGAACCAGTTTCCATCTTCTGTTAATCTTGAGCCCGTTACCTTGGAGTCTGCTGAGCTGAATTTTGGAGGCAATCATCTAGCTTTGATCAATACTAGTCTAGATAATGGTTAGAACTTCAATAATTCTTTTTGTGCATGTATTTTATAAGTTGTTACTTGGGTTATGGATTTGTTTGGCTGATACTTGATGCAAGAAGGCGGTGAGGTGAAGTGGAACTTGCCAAGGAGCCCTTGGGAATCTATAACAGAAAATGTGCTGGAAGACTTACTTTCGGCATTTAAACACGTGAGGAATGAAATGAAGTCCGCAAAGCCCAAAGAAGCATGTCCAACTTTGATTGCCAGAGTGGGGAAAGTACTCTTTCGCAGGTTAGATTTCCTCCTCATCTAATTCACCGGTTAGCTTTCGAGCCTTTTTTGCCATTCCTTAACTAGATTATGTCATGCGATTATTCATTAATTTGTTCTTTTAGTTGCCTCACGATACTGGTTAAAGTAGAACAAAAAATAGTTATACTATGATAAAAGGTCATATTTTGGCATTTTAGCTTAGAAGATACGGTGCCAAGTTTGACGGTGAAGTAGGATTATAAAATTCTGCCCTTGTTTTTGATACTTGATACAGATATTTCGGTATTGATGCTTAATCACTGTCAATCATCTCATATTTCACGTTAGTTTTGTAACAACGGAAAAGAATCTTGTACTACTCCTTAGTTGTACATGAGCAGATGAAAGACAATCTTTTGTTGAAATCTTTGTATCAGTTAAGATGGAATCTATCAGAAAAAAATTTGTT